CGCCTCGCAGCGCATCCCCGCGGCTGACAACGCCAAGGCCATCCGCGAGCTGGCCGGCTTCCCGGACGGCGTCGACGTGGTCATCGACGCCAGCGGCGCCGAGCCGTCCATCCAGGCGGCCATCCACACCGTCCGCATGGGCGGCACGTACGTGCAGGGCGGCATGGGCAAGCCCGACATCACCTTCCCCATCATGGCCATGTGCCTCAAGGAGGTGACGGTCAAGGGCTCGTTCCGCTACGGGCCCGGCGACTACAAGCTGGCCGTCGAGCTGGTGGCCGCGGGCAAGGTGGACGTCAAGAAGCTCGTCACCAGCGTGGTGAGCTTCGACCAGGCCGAGGAGGCCTTTAAGAAGGTCAAGGAAGGCGAGGCCATCAAGGTGCTCATCGCCGGCCCCAACGAGAAGATCTAGAGGGGATCCATCGTTCTATACCAACATCCTACCGTGGATAGTTACGGGTTACTAAAATGTTTCTTCTTTGTCTTATTCTTTTTTTGTTCAAGGGAAATTGCATTCGGGGCGGGGTCTATTTTTCGGGTCTATTTTGAGAGGATGGCGGCGGGAGCACGGCAAGCAACTGGGAAGAAAACGAGGTGTGTTAGCGACGGCGTATACGAATTATGCGGTGGTGGCGGCAGGCTGATGCAGGTGCAACATCATGGTCAGATCGAGACCAAGCTGATTTATATCGAAAATATATTATTGACTGCTGCATATGACATGTCGACGCCAGTGTACGTGTTGGTTGCTAGCTGTAAGCCTGGAGGTGGTATCGGGCAACATGGGTGGAAGATTGCTCTGACTGCAGGGCCTCCAGAGTCTGAATCTGGCCGCACGCGCATAGATCACACATTCATTGACTCCGGTGCTCGCTCTCACAGGCCTCGACCAATGCGACGTGCAAAGATCTGCACCCCACCTGCTTCAAGGGGGACCCGTCCGTAGGGCTTTCTCGCCTTTGGAGGAGTGTCAATTGTCAAGCGGAATCTGCCATTTTTTGGGGCCGCTGCTCTGGCTGGAAATAGCCCGTCTGCGGTGGAGATTAGGGGGCTTGCTGGTAATTACAGCAGCAGCCACGGCGGGTGCCTGCTTTTTAGGCGTGTGTAAATTGAAATTGGATGACGAGGGGACATGGGCTGCGGGCAATATTCCGCACCTCCCAGTCAGATCGGCAGCGATGGAAACATGTTCCCACACACTCGCATGGTCAAGGTAGATCCCACGGGCGGCAGTGGGCGAGACCGGCGATGCTATGGTGGAAAAGTCGAGTCCTCTTCCAGACCTCAATGCTCCGGGCTTTGGTCGCCAGATTGGGTTCACCCATCGCCACGTTTGTTCTGGTTTAGCTGCCGGCCGCAAAGAGAGATGAGGGCTTAACTTATTCCAGGCAATTTACACAACCATCATGCGACCATGTCTTCCAGACTTCAGCCCGACGCTCGGTGGCAGCAGCCCCGATACCCCTGGAGATAGAAACACAACCCACACCCGTCACAGAGTCGCAGTTGAGTCAGTCTATTGCCATCCTGCGTGGGTCTGCCAACGCTCAGCGGTTACATTGCCTTGCAGATAGTTCAGCACTGGCCCAGACAGGCGGCCGTCACTGCAGCTGCTGCAGCCCTCGGCCCTGCGCTCATCCGCACAAGGCATCGAGCAAAAACGCCTAGACCCAACTTCAACCGCCATGACCCTCCCTCCGATGAGGGCACTAGCGATCACTAGTCTCCAGTCTGCACGTTCCTGGGGCATCTCGGCGCCGTTCCAGCGGTAACTGGATTCGAGGCGCCTCTAGACATAGAATTATTCGTGCATGGTTCGCTTCACACGCCACAGGAGAACGAGCCGTGGATATGGTGACCCGCCGGGCATGAAGTTTAAAGCCAGCCAGCCAGTCACGAGTCACTAGCTCGACTGCAGCTGAAGAAGCCATCTACGCTTTGGGAGACGGACGCTCACCGTAGGCGCACCGCTGGGGTTTCGGTCGAGGATGAGGCATGGAAAGGCAATTCAGCCCTCGTTATCAAGCTGCGGAGTTAAGAGCTGGAGGCAAAACATCTGCCGAGCAGCCCAAGTCGAGACCGGCCGCCGCAAAAGGAAATTCTTGTTCCCCAGCCCATGACAGCGCAACACGCACTCCCCAATTCCCAACCAACAGGGGGGCTTGTCAGGCATCACCCTAGATCAAGTGGGTTCAACCGCAGTGCGGCTGAACTTCGAAGCAGCGCGGAGAGTAAACTCTTTGGGAGAGCGGCAGGCCTCAGACAATGCCTCCCATCTCCGCCCGAGCGCATCCCATCTACTCCAGTCCATGCTGCAATAGTCCCTAGTGGCTGAAAATCTGCCTTGGGCCCTCCTCTGGGCTGTCCCATCCATTGGCCTGCGTCCTTGGTCCGTATCGGATCTCAGGCTCTCGGCTGCTCCCATGACCTGGGTCTGGATTTCTTTATTAATGCCATGGCGTCCCCTCTAATGCAGTGATGCACCAGTGGCTTGCTTTGTTGTGTCGATCGTCCTATTTAATATAGAACCGGACTCTGCTCTTCCCCTCCCCGTCCTTCTCTCCATCCTCATAGGCAGCTAGCTGGACATCCAATTCCTTGTACGCTATACTCTGCAACATCAAACAAGATGGAGAACGGACCCCAGATTCTGGAGACGCCAATCTGGCTCCTCGGAGCTCGCATTGCTCAGGCTGTGCTCGCCCTCATTATCATGGCCATGGCTGGTGTGCTCATGCACGGTGCCTACCTCGACGTGCATGGCCTCTGCGTAGCCACTGTAAGTCGAAACCGTGATGAAGCTGTTTACCAGCACATTGGATCAATGCTAACGACGTCTTTTTCAGGGCCTGTTCACCTGGATTGTCGTCGCTTACAACATCCTGAGTGAGAAGCTCCCCGCGCTTCACAAGATCTACAATGTCATCGCCGTCATTGCCCTCGACGGTTTCATGATGATTTTGTGGCTCGCTACCTTCGCCGCCACTGCTGCCAAGCGCGCAAGCTTTATTTACAACGTCAACGTCAACTCATGCTACAACGACGGCAGCCTGATCAACTCGACCACCTGCGCCAAGCGCTCCCTCGTTACCCGTGCCACTCTTCTTTTCAAGAGCGGCCAGGCCATGATGTCCGCCAACGCTGGTCTCGGCGCCCTTGTCTGGTATGCACCTCTCAAAGAAAACTCATTCATCATCAAAAGCTAACATGAGATCGCCATAGGCTTCTCTTCATTGCCACCTTCACCTGGACCATGGTCTTCTTCTTCAAGGGCCGCAAGGAGGGCCGCTTCCTCTTCGACACCGAGGCCCCCGCCTTGCAGATGGAGACCAAGAACCAGCCCCAGGCCGCTTCTCAGGTTCATCCCGTCCCCGTCCAGCAGCCCCTCCAGCCCCAGCAGACCGGCGGCTACGAGAAGAACGACTTCCAGACCCAGCAGACCGCCTACCAGCCTCCCGCCAGCTACCCTCCCCAGGGCCAGTACCCCCAGCAGCCCTACCAGCCCGCCGTGAGCCCCCAGCCGACCCCCTCGCCCGCACCCGCCGGCTACCCAGCCCAGGAGCTCTACGGCCAGCAGCCTCAGCAGGGCTATTACCCTCCTCAGAGCAGTGAGCTGTCCGCCGCTGATGGACAGAACCCCTACTACCCTGCGCAATCGCCCCCTCCCCAGCAGTACCAGTACCCTCCTCATCCTCCCCCGCAGTAATTGATAGAGCGGGGGTCGAGGAGCGACGGGAGTGAGAGATGGGGAAGTGAGAAGATGGGAGAAACACAGTCACGACCATATACATACACTACCGGGGCCGGAGGAGTCTTTATGAGTTTGAGCCATGCGACTTTTTTTTTTTTGATACCAGTCCTTTTTGATGTCAACATATCCATTAATAGTACATGATAGCAAGATTTTAAAAAGTTATAATTCAATTCTTTGTGCCATAATATGCGTGTATGTATACTGGTGTAAGTGGTGTAAGTGAAGGGTTATGGCCGGCTCATGAGGAGACCCCTTGGCCGTAGCTATTTTATTAGTCGGAAAGTTTTGTTGTTTGTGTAGATATGGTTCTAACTCTCTATTATACTGTTGGAGATATGGCTACGAGCGAGTTGTGGTCCCAAGGCTGATATTGCTGATCAGGGACGGAATTTCTGGCCTGCTCCGGATCACTCCACAACTCAGCAGGGTCCTCTTTTGTACCCGAGCCTCTTCGGAAGACAGCACCGGCCAAGGGTTCAATTGCTGGCCCACTGCACTGTTGCAACTGGTTTCTATGAATTTTGACGGGCTTCTATCCTAAACAGGGTCATTGTGCCCACGTATTCGTACCGAAAATTCAATAGCAACTTGAAAGCGGCTTACACGAAGTAGAGGACACTGTCCCTCAAAACCCAGACCAACGGACCGGGCCATGATCAACCGTTAACTTAGATCCCTATTTTGCATCCGAAACACAAAACAGATCCATTAGCAACATAAAACGTGTCCAAGTGGCATGTTCACCCGGCAATTGTCGAACTGCCTCGAAACAGCCAAACAGGCCAGTGGAGTCACTCGCAATAATGTGATGGGCCGATTGTGAGCAAGATAATCCACAACAGGAAGGCGGTCAGCATTCTGCCGTGCTTCTTTGGGGCGGGCGATCATTCAAAGCTCACCACCAAGCTCTCCAGCCTCAACCACCACGACACCGTTCCTCAATCACCGTCCACGCACGCCCGCTCTCGGTCCCCCAGCGACGGCTCGCAGCCCTCAATCGTCGCAGCCCTCCCCGCCCTACAGTGCCGAACCCGTCATTGGCCCGCCCAGCCCACGCCCTGGCCGCAATGGCCTCCAACGATGCTCCACAGCGCCTCGGCGTCCCGTCTCGAAATCCCCTCCCTCTCTCCGCCTCCCAGGAATCACAAGTCAGAGACATCTACTACGCCCGAGTACGAAAGCTGTGCTCCGACGAGATCAAGGGTAATGCGAAGCTATCTCTCCCTCCCCCGTTAGTGACCAAAAAGCTTTTGCTGACATTGGAGCTCGCTAAACAGCCTTTGCCGACTGCGCCCTCGGCCGCACCTTCACCGTCTCCTTCCAGTGCCGCGAGCAGCACCGCGAGATGAACTCGTGCCTGACCCGGTTCGCGACGCCGGCGGAGCACGACGCCGCGCGGGAGGAGTGGTTCGCCATGCGGCTGGAGCGCCAGCGCGAGAGGGAGCGCAAGGCCCGGATGGCCGCCGCCCAGGAGGAGTTCCTGCGCGAGTGGTGGGCCCTGCCGGAGGAGGTGAGGCTCTCGAGGCCGAAGCCGGAGGGGATCGAGAGCAGGCCCGAGAGGGTGGGCGGGATGCCGGCCGCGCAGGCCTCGTCGTCGTCGTCGTCGTCTAGCAGCGGGCGGTAAATGGCGGCCTACGTTGTTAGGGAATGACGACGAATTGTTACGATGTGTGGAACCCCCTCTTTTATTTTTACTTTTGCATTCACTCGGCGTTTTAATTTTTGGGGAGAAGATGGTGTGTATAGTAAGATCTGGCAAAAAAAGAACATAGCGGTTGTTGTACGAATAGGGCAGATTGGGGGCCAGCAGAGCCGATTGGCGGTCCTCTAGACGAGATTTAAAAATACATCCTCCTACTTGATCATCAAATTATCGAAAGGGTGTGCGATCTGACGATGAGTTGCAGAACCAGCAAATTGAGCGCCAAGCCTGCGTATAGACCTCGACAACACGGTCCAAAGGAGACGTACATGAGTCTTAAGACTTAGACCGGCGACTGTTTGGGATCGTGACTGGTGGCGCCGCGGGCTTTTGGATGCCGTGCTGGCCAAGGCCCATGGCATGGTTGGCGATACCCGCCAAAGACTCACTTACATATGTGTAGGTAGGACGTTACATGGGAAAACGTGGATACCGCCCACCTGGAAGACTCCATGAACGGTTAGGGTAGGAGCTGAAGTGTCGGTGACGGATTCAATATCAATGACCGATGCTGACCATTTGGGATCTACAAATAACCTTGGGGGTCAGATCCAGGCACCACAACTCAACTCCTGTCATGATGCGTGAGCGTACATGCAGGCGGACTCAACCGCCAGGGCGAGACGAGGAGCCAGCGTCAAGGCGGCGCAAAGGAGACGCATGGAGGCTTTGAGGAAGCGGATAGTTCGCAGGTCCCACCCGTCTCTTCAACGCAGCAGCGCGGAAGGGTGCTCGCGCAGCAGAATGGCAGCGAGTTCGAGGCATCACATGTGGTTGATGCAGACAAGGGCCCGGGAAGTGGTGACTGAAGTGGGGGAGCAGGTTTCCGGTCTAACCCTAAGAATAGCCAGCCGAAGAACCAGAAACGGGTGGGAAGAGTCATCTGGGCGATCCTACTGGCCGGGCAGCCAACAAGGGCGGCAGTTGGCTAAGCGCCCTCGCCCTCCTCAACCCTGGACGATGTTGCTGTGAGGTGCAGAAGCTGCAGTGTGACGGGCCACACGATTGGCTGCCAGCCCGGTCCGCCCTGAGCGCCCCGCACCACCACCACCATCACCAGAACCAAACACCTCGCACCAAAGCCCGTCTCCAAGCACCGGCCAGCCAGAGCCCGCCCTCCAACCTCGCAGCCCGCCGTGTGGTGCGGGCACGGCGCTTAACACTGCTGATCTGCCCAACCATCGAAGAGGAGGTGTAGCATCCCAGCGGATGCCCTCCTAGGGAGAAAAACGGCACCCACTCGGGTCCTCTGCGATGGGTTCCTGGCAGGTCGTATATAATGATTCGATAGCTCTTGGGTTCTTGGCCTTTTGCTCGTTTCACTCCTCGCTTCTCCTCCCCTCCGGTGCTCTTACACGGGCATTCTACTCAACGACGTAACGACAGACCATGATACTGTGATAGCGGGTTGCTGATTTACGACTGGTTCTTTTTCTTCTTTCCTCCATATCTGCTATACGATTGAACCCCTTGATCCCATTGAAACCGTTTGCGAGACCTGGTCGTCCATCTTGGTCTCTAATACACACGCTCGACACATTGGCTTATCATGTCCTCCACGTCTCCTACTCCCGGGGCCTTCTCCCTCTTCCCCAGCCCAAGCAGCTCCACCCCGCCAATAACAGTCGGGCAGGCCTCGCGCCCTCGACGATCGGAATCCCGTGAACGCAGAGCCCGGACGCCGCAGAGCGCCCGGACCCGTACCCCTCAACCTGGAGAGCTGTCGCTGGCGACCTCACCACCACGAAGCAACGGCCGCAAGACACCTCAGCTGCAGGCACAGTCGCCGTCGTCGCAACAGCAGCCACAGCAGTCGCCGCCGAGGCAACGGCAACGACAGGGGTCGGTATCGAGAGAGCAGCAGATGCAGTCGCCCGCGAGGGAACACCAGCAACAGCCCAGGGAGCAGCAGACACAGTCCCCTGCGAGGGAACAGCGAGAACTACCACCACTGCCCAGGGAACAGACACCGGTAGCCGCCGAGCAGCCTCAGGCGCAACATCCTCTTCAGCAACACCCTTCAAGGCTAGTGCGTAACCCGGACCGGAGCTCTATCGCGAAGCCGCCTCTCGAGGAGGAAGCAGGATCGTCGGGCCAGGTACGGTCCATCTTCCCGACTTACAACCCCAACATACCCCTCAACCAACAGAATTATGCGCCCACGCAACTCGGCCCTGCAGGGATACCCAGGGCCATCATCAGTAGGCAGTCATTCTTCCCCAATGACGACTCAGAGGGCATCAACCAGGAGGAGCCACCGCTTCCTGTTACCACCCGCAGCCCCTTGCGAGGAGGTTCCGAGGACGATCCCAGGTGGGGGCATGCCGTGCCACTGCCAAGGGATCCTCCCGTAGAACCCCAGACCTGCACGACGAGCCAGCTCAAGTCCTTCTGGAGAGTTGCCAACGGGTGGAGGGCTACCCCCCTGGAGGGGCGGGTATATTGCATGAAGCTGGAGCAGGAGAAGGATGCACCTGTATATACGCTCTCTTCGTCCACCCAGCCATTCTACAATATCCGGATCGACCCGACTTCCGCCTCGGCGTATGTGACGGTCAAGCGCCATGATCCGAACAAGCCGTACAAGGACCCAACAGGAGACTCGAGCCCGATCTCAGGGAGCAGCTTACTGTCTGCCGTGAGCGGCGGAAGCAATAGCAGCCCGAGGAGCTCCAAGATCACTGATGGGAAGCACTGGTCCGAGGCTCTGACGACGACCCTCGAGGAGGAATCCCGCCGGCATCGTCCCAATGACGGGCTTGTCGCGCTCCTCATGCCCCGGGCAGCTGCCAAGATGGCGCTGGAGAAGGCCAATGATCCCCAGGCTGTGTATATGGCTGAGCGAGAATGCGCGCGTCTAGTCTGGGATGACGACAGCGCGAGCCACTTCCTCGTGCACCCTGCCCTGGCGACCCCATTCTGCGTAACTATTGACCGGTCACCGGCGTGGTCACGCGTCGAGTACACACTCGAGCACCACGAGTCCCCCCAGCACCTGGCCAAGCTGACGCGGGACGGCACCGGCGCGGGCTGGCTCGAGTTCGACACGGGGCTCGCCTCCAAGATCGAGTCGTGCTACATTGCCGACGTGGCCATCACGGCGCTCATCCTCGTCGCGTCCGCGGACGAGAAGAACCAGCCCGTGGCCGAGACCTTCGAGCCTCCCCCCGTCCTGCCCCCTCCCCAGACCCTGTTCCTCAAGAGCAACAGCAGCAGGGAGAAGGTCTTCGGCAAGGCGTTCGGCGGCAAGAAGAACAAGGGGCCCGTCGAGGTCTTCGAGCTGGATCTGGAGAGCCAGAGCAGCAGCCTCGGGAAGGACAAGAAGAAGAAGAAGGACACCAAGGTGAAGGAGGGGCTGGACAAGCTGCCATTTGTGTTGCGGGTCCCGGCGAAACTGGCTCGGTGGGCGTTCAAGGCTTTGATATGGATATTCACACAGATTTTCGGTTGTTTAAAGGCGATGTTTTGCTGCTGTTATGGCGTGGTTGGGTCCAAGTACTAGGGTTAATGAGAAAATGAAACGAGCCAGAGTAGAAACCGTCTGGCTCAGATATTGCTCCAACATATACTGAATTCTGTAATCAAACGTGAGGCAGTGTCAAATCAATGAATGAATGAATGAATGAATGAATGAAGTCGTAAAGTTCGTATTAATTCAGCCACCATGGGTTGACGAGACTGGTATAGTTTTGTTTTGCTGGTAAAAAAGGCTTTGGGTCATCCCCATGCACACATTTACCTCTTTCGTGTGCGGAACTTGAGCTTTTTCCCTCTCCTAGTCTCGCCCCCAGATGTGGCCGTCTTGGCCATCTTTGCCCGTTGTAGCTCAAGTTCCCTCTCGACATCCGTCAGAACTTTCAACTTGTGCTTGGCAGCCTCAAGCTGTCTCCGTACCCTTCGTAGTGATTTTTCTCTCTCGTCCTCTGCCTCGTCCCCTTCCTCCTCATCATCGTCGATTCCCTCGAATTCTTCTTCGTGGCCGTCTTCTTCCTCCAGTCTATCCTGCACCACCTCGTCTTGCTCCTCTTCCGTGTCCAAGAAGACAATCTTCCTCGCGGGCTTGGCCCTCATCGACTTGGGAGGCAAATCAAAGTCGTCATCGTCCTCATCCTCGTCATCGTCATCCTCGTCCAGGCGATCCAGACCCTTCGTCAGGACAGCCTGCTCCTGCAGCTTTGCCACCTCCTTCTGTGCAATCTGTCGCATCGTGCGCACATAGCCGATATCCTGAGTCTTCAGCAGCCGCACGGCATCCACGCTCATAGACTTGTTGCCGCGGTCGCCCTGCACCGTTCCGCTCCACCTCTTGCCGTCCATGAGCTTCGAGCCGGGTCCCTTGCGGGACATCATCCCGAAGTAGAACTCATCCTCGTTGCGCTCGGCGGCCTTGGCGCGGAGGTTCTTGAGCTGCTTCTTCTTCTTGTTGTAGTCCTGTGCTCGCTTCGAGTAGTCCTGTACGATTGAAAATGCGAGTTAGCAGGTGTTGTGTGTCCTGGAATCATCGCGCGATGCTGACCTTGTGCTTTTCCAAAAGACCGAGGCGTCGGCGCTCCAGCGGCTGGGCACGCTCCCTGTGGGGGTTCCGCTGGATGGCATTTCGCATTGAGGACATCCTGAAAAGTCCTGTTTATCGCAATCGCCAGGAATGGCAGCACGTGTTTTCCAGGAGGATTTGTTGCTATGCAGGCAGAAAGAAGGTGGCTGAGACGGATTTTGTTGAAGGTTGGAGGCGGCAGAATCTGAAAATTTTGGCGGTCAGAAATTTGGCCATTTGGCGGCGGACACCACTAAACCTCCAAGGATTTCGAGGTGGGGCAGCACCTACTCTCGCCAACGACACGAGATGATGATGAACAGTTTCCAAGCTGAAAATTGATGAACTCTATCTCTAATGGTTCGCCAATTTAGGTATCGAACTCGGATCCAACCTAGATGAAACATTGTATACTTAAGCGAGATGCAGCAACATCTTCGCCCCCCTTCTAGATACATGGCCGCGAGAGCGCGCTGGATGTACTTCTAATAGCATGCAGCACGCACGACACGCATGAATCAACCCGCAAATGGTATATTTGCTACTCTGGGCAGCGTATCATTGTGCAATGAAACACAATTAGAGTTTGGAAGCTACGTCGGTCAGGCAAGGTAACCTTGATGGTAGGCTTATGCAGCAACACCTCCCTCCACTCACAACCCTCCTATAGCCGCTGCAGGAGAGCATAAAGAGGGAGCAAGTCCCTTCTTTACCACCCCGGATATTCCCTCACGCACAAGCATTTACCATCCGACTGAAGCACTCTCAAAAATGCCTCCATCACCATGTTTTACGGGCCTCCCCACTGAGGTCCGCTTGCAAATCTACGAATTTTACTTTCATCTTCCAGGTGGTCTGATCTATTCCCACGACAAACAAAAGCTCGTTGCAAAGGATCCAGAGGAAAAGCTGGAGGTTTCCTTAATGTTCACGTGTCGTACCACAGCTGCCGAGACTCAAGGTCTGCCTTTCGAGTTCAACACGGTCACTTTTACCACGGGCTGTCACACAAGCAACTACAGCCATGCTGGGGAATATTCACAAACTCTCCTCCTGCTTCACAATCAGCGTTTCGAAGTCCTCAGCTACATGCGCCCAGCAATCTCAGAGGAAATCTATGACGAAACAACTTCGAGATTTCCGCTCTTCAAACCAGTGCTAGATGCCATCAAGGAACACTGGCCGCAGAATGGGGAGGATAACGAGGATTTCATACGCGAAATCGCTCGATGGGGTGATGTGCCTTTTTCTGCACGAGAAGCAGTAGCCCTCACATGCCAGTTGGCACTGCAATCAATGGAAAGGGAAACCATCGCTGCCGTGGCCGGATACCGGCTGGACAACCCGAATCTACCTCCCCACGATGACCCCTTGCGCATACTCACTCTTGATCACCAACCTTGGGACATACCCTCGAAAAGTAAATTGCAGCGACTGCGAGCTAGCTTATATATGCCACCTCAAGGTGCCTTCTCCTGGGAGCGAGGTATTAGGAATGATAATGGCATATGGAGGAATTCTAGTCAACATACAAGGCCGTACCACTTCTCCGCGGCTGCAGTAGCTATTCATTTTCTCCAGCAGCTGTCTGTCAAGCAACGAGCGCATTTTCGAAATATCGTGCTACGCGAGGACTCCGAGTCCGTCGCTTTCCCAGCATGTCACGCTCGCGGACTCATTCCTTTCTGCCAGGAGAACCCTTGCCTTCGCATCGAGAGGCGAGTTAATTTAATCGGTAACGTTTTAGAGGTCCCTGAAAGTCTATGTCTCGCACGTGACAGGTTCATATCCGACATGTCCAAAGCATTGGCGGTCTGGCTTGTTGAGGCAATGGACCTGGAGCCTGCCGGCATGCCACCCAATGCCTTCAGCTTTGTTCTCGACGATGATCAGGCGCCGGACAGGGCGATGGTCGCCTTTGACAAAGTTTACCATAGGTGCCTCACTTGGCAGCGCCATATGGAGAGTGAATACGAAAGCGGCGACAAGGACACCAGGCGCTTCTTCCAATTGACGAAGAATAGGCTGTATATTTTGGATGGATTTCCTCGAGCGATGGAGGAACTCTACCGAAATAATGGCATCCTCCGCTGCAACTTCAACCCAGGTGAACCAAGTGAAGTAACCGAAAGCTCGATCTGGACCATGGACGACTACGCGACCATCGACATCGTTGACGAACTAGGGTTTGACCAACGTACTGTCATGCTTCACTTTAACCATGCGATAGGCGAAGTATTTGGGGATACTGAACTTCCGGGTCTTCTTTGATGAGGTATGTCTTGCTTTCTCCGGCTTCTTCCTTTCCTTCTTTCTGAACTAGGTTGTCTTACCAATGTCTTCTTGTTGCTTCAACCAAGCCGCTCAGTCGGGGTTCGTTTCATTCACTTGGAAGTCATGGTACGTTATGGTTTGTAATTCATCCCGCTAGGTAGTTGTTCCAATAGCAATGAAGTGCAAGTCAGTGCATGCTTGTGCACCGATATGTGCCCCTAAGAATTCAGCTTCCATACGACTCAGAGACGATTAAGTTGACTTGAATTCGACTCCATCATTTGACAATTAACCCATGTTCATACCGCTCTAAGTGTGTATATTTAGCATCTATTACGGATCGTACGCATAGATCCTAGAGTCTAGACAAAGGCTAAAACGAAGCCATTACCCACGCATCAATGGATCAAATAACGAACTTGTCCTTCAATCTTAGGTCCCGGCTGCTTGCTCCCACAAAAATGAGATATTCGCCCTCCTGGACGATCCACTCCTGGCTCACAACATCCCAAACGGCAAAGTCTCTCATGTCGAGCTCGAACGTCAGCACTGCGTCCTCCCCCGGCTGTAGTCGCACCTTTTCAAAGCCGCGGAGCTGGCGTGGCGGCGAATTCGGGATCGCAATGTACAGCTGAGCTACCTCCTCGCCTTCCCTGTCGCCGGAATTGGTGATCGAGGCAGTGACAGTCGCTGCCAGGTCCCAGCGGTTCTCTCCGTTGCATGGGGCGGAGGCGGCCAGGCCCTCGCGTTTGAGCTCCATGCTTGTATAGTTGAATGTAGTGTAGCTGAGTCCAAATCCGAACTCGAACCGTGGCGTGATGTGTTGTGCGTCAAAGGCGCGGTAGTCGAGGTAGGTGCCCTCGGAGAAGTCGCACTGGGGGTCTGTATCGCTGTCCGACGACTTTTCGCAAGGGTGTAGGACACTCCCGTAGTCCGTCTCGTTTTTGGCGAGAGTGTAGGGCAGCTTTCCTGAGAATCCAGCCTCTCCGTACAGCAGCTTCACGAGGGCTGTGCCGCTGTCCTGTCCGGGGAGATGGGCAATGACTGTAGCAGTGACGTTGGGATGCTCGATCCACTGGTCTACGAGTCGAATGCCGGCTGCGTGGATTACGACGACTGTGTTGGCGCACTTGCGGGCGACATTCTGAACGAGGCCATCGCTGAAGTCGTCATGCAGACCGTCGCGATCCCAGCCCTCGGTTGCTATCGCGTTGATGAAGACCAGGCAGACATCAGAGGCGGCGTTCACACTCGGGTCGTGGGACCTAAGGTCCCAGTTCACCCAAGTGTCGTCTACTGTTGCTCGTTGTTGCAACGCATTGAGTGGCTGATAGTTCTTGTTAGAATAATCGTTTCTGTCCGGGTCGAGGAGTTCAACCTACATCGATCATATAAGCCGGTGCGTTGGCACCAGCTCGTCCTCCGGTGACAATAGTTCCACCTCTGGCTGCTTGATCAAAGTGCTGGGGCGTTCCCAAGTTTGCCTGTGCCATCTCCTTGGAAGACGTGTAGCCCAGCTCAAAGAGCTTGTCGGTATTCTTGGTCTGCGGAATCGTTGCATCATAGCCGAATACCGAGATCATCTTCAAGGGGCCTTTGAAGGGGAGTGTTTTGTTTTCGTTCTTGACAAGGACATGGCCCGCAATGGCACCCTCCAGAGTGATTGGCTTCGAGTGTGGATCGCGAGCATCGATCTGCTCATGAGGTTCGGTTAGGTTCTTCATGCCGATTCCAGGCTCGGGGAATTTCCCTCCATCTTGGCCTGCGAGGTACCAGGCAGCAACGATTCTGTATCCTGTCAGTAACGACTTAGAGTTATACCAGTGCTTGGAGACGAATTCACCTGGTTGCCATATCGGTTACCCGATCCTCAGTTACAGTGCCGTTGTGAACAGCATCAGTGATATTATTCCCAAAACTCCCTCCAAGAGGCATCACCATATCCAAGCCAGCGTTTGCGCTCGTGAGATGATGGACGGCGTTCCAGTCCAGAAGCACAAAACCTTGGAACCCCAACTCGGTCTTCAAGATTCCATTGAGGGTCTTGCTATTATCACAACCATAGGTGCTGTTGATACGTTGGTAAGAGCACATGACAGATGCCACGCCCGCGTGAATGCCATCAACAAATGGCCAAAGATAGTACTCGTGCAGAGTCTTATCGTCGATGTTGGCAGAGACCGCCTCAACGCCAAAGTAAGGTCTCCTGTAGGTTTCTTGCTCGTTGCCGATAAAGTGCTTCAATATGTATATTAGCAACCGGGGTACTAAATGTTGACTACTTGAAATCATACCTTGATGTTGGCGATGACACCAGCTTCCTGATGCCCAACAATGGACTCAGCATTGAGCTTTCCGGACAGGTAGGGGTCAACACTGAATCCCTCCCAGTTGCGACCACCCAGAGGGCTACGACCAAGAGGACCAGCATTGGGCCCTAAGATGATGTTGACTGTGGCTCTTTTGTGAGCATAACTTCAAATGAGATCCGCACTTTGGAGGGATGATTGACGCACCGCCTTTTGCCTTGAACTCCTTCCCCATATACCAACCCCTCTGGTAGGTCAGATTCTTGTCCCAGCTGGCTCCCACATGGATAGCCGACGGGAAAGAGCTGACAAAGTCGGTCGCCCTGACGCCGTTGCCGGCATCGTGGAGGCACATGCCCGGCCAGTCCAGCCGGGGGACGGTGCCGGTCGTACCAGCGCAGACATTGTCTGCCTTGAAGCCTCGTGTGATGTTGACTTTCTCCTCCAATGTCATCTGCCCTACGAGGCTGCGTGCGCTTTCATACGCATTTGTCCAGACGCCATCTCCCTTCCCGGGTGCTAAGTTTGCTGGTTTAGCTGCTTTGTTTATTTGACCTTATCATTTGGTGAAAACTTACGGCTAGGAAAAACCGGCGGTGATTCATAGCTACCTGCCGATGCCAGAGGCAGCAGCAGGCTCAAAAGAGACAAAGAGGCTTGCGCAGAGGGAGGCCGCATGGTTGATGGATGAGGGTTCTGCTCTCCTCACACTGGCGGTGTTGTTGATTCCCCAGTACTAAAGTATTTTACCTGGAGAAGGCGATCATCTCCCGCCTCATGGATAAATAATTATAACAGCCGGGGTACGTCACCGCAATTCTTGAATTGCTGATTTTTACCGGGGTCCATGCTCCTCGATTGGAATAGAAAAAAATCAGAGTCATGGATGTTCTACAACATTCAAGGCAACCTCCTTGTTGTAATTGCTGGCATTGATTCAGTGCTGGCAGCCGCACTAGACCACACTAAGGACGGCTAATATCGCGGTTTCAAGTCAAAATCCACATTGTTTCGCATCAACAACCTCCAAAAAAAGCCGTCTGTTGTACAGCAGGATGCCAAGCTCGTATTTGATGGTGTTACTGGTCAGGCGCAAGCCTGGAAAGATGCGGGAGCCGACATCATAAAATAACATGACCGACTTGAGTGCCAATCATACGACAATTACCAATACACCAGATCAATTCTCGAAGAGTCCGTTTGTAGCGTAGTATTACATTGCTCATGTCTATTTAATTTATACATTGATACTCGTACAGTATTCATTATACAGGCTGCAACGGCGTATAATACACAGGTAGCTACAAATGAGTGTATCTACCGGGTGAGGGAATGGGGTAGGCGGGCAAAGTATGCCACATTCATCAGGCTCAGAAGACAAGAAGGAAGCCGGCTACTTCTTGCTCCCAGCAATCACGAGTCCATACGGCTCAAGCTGATCATTTGTGATCTTACCTGGAGCACGTACAAATGGATCTTCTCCCTTCATTGTCTTGGGGAAGGCGATCACATCCCTCACTGTAGGTGTATCGGTCAAGAGGGCCACCAAGCGATCGAACCCAAGCGCGAAACCGGCATGGGGTGGGCAGCCCGCTCGTAGCGCTTCGAGCAGATGTGAGAAATCGTTGACCCTCTTGTCGGACATCTTGAGGATGTCGCGCATGATGAATTCTTGCACTTCTGCAATGTGAATACGCTCACTCCCACCACCAACCTCTGTGCCGTTCAAGACAAGGTCGTATGCCGCACTGCGGGCTTCCAAAGGATCAGTAAACAAGAGCTCCAAGTCCTTCTGGGACAGAGGAGACGTGAAGGGATGGTGGCAAGCGGAAATCCCGGCACCGGCATCCTTGACTTTCCACGGCTCATCTTCCTCGATAGGCTTGAACATCGGGAACTCGGTCACCCAGAGGAACTGTAGCGACCCTGGTTCGCCGAGTCGAGGCTTACTCATGAGTCCTTCTTCAACGAGTGCTTTCCACAGCGCCACTCGGAATTCTCCAATCTTGGTCGAGGAGAAGCTATACTGGCCCTTTTGCTGCTGTCTTGCCTGGAAGACTACGAGATCTCCATCCTGAAGCTCTTTTCCTCCAGATACTTGGCCTAAAACACTCTCGTATTCGAAACCGATGGAGGAGAAGCCGCCCAGAGGCTTCATTGAGTCGTATACAAGGATTTGAGGTTGTCCGTCGGGGTTATCTGTAAATGATGAGGGTAATTCTTGCATAAATTTATTGACAAATCGGCGAGAAGCATCAGGTGAACTGTCATTCAAAGAGAACGAGAAACCCTCGACGAGGGGCTCCGGAAGGTGCGATATCATGCCGACAAAATCCCGGGCGGTGTCCGGAACAGTAATAGGATAAATCTTTCAGCTGTTAATACAAGATAGGCGAGTAATCATTCGACGCTACTCACTCGAGACGGTATTCTCAAATCAGGCTTGTCGATTCCGTACATAGCTATACAGTCTGCGAAAGTCAGGGTGGTGAACTCGTGAGCTGGGAGTTCATCTGCTCCCGCGGGACCATCGGGGATGGCAGACAGATCGGGAACTCTCTCTCCACGAAGTGTTTGGTAGCTATGGGCAGGCCTCAATGCTGCCAACGCTTTTAATACAATATCTGTGATGTCTTTCTGGACGTTGGCGGCCCGCGCGAAAGCCCATTCCATATCGAGCTGCATGCGCATTAGATTAATTGTTATCGACAGATACAGGGGTTAGGACCAACCTGAGAAAACTCTGGCTGGCGGTCAGCTCTGGAGTCTTCATCACGATAACACCGAGCCCATTGCATATAACGACCAATACCACTTGCTACCAGCACCTGTTTATATTGCTGCGGGCTCTGCGTCAAGGCGTAGGCTTTCCCCTTCTGCCTTGTCGGTACGAGGAACTCTCTAGCACCCTCGGGAGTGGACTTGAAAAGTGTCGGGGTCTCGACATCTGTAAACCCTTTCTCGACGAGTCCTTGGTTGAGAATGCCCTTTAGCCAGGAACGGAACTTCAGGCGGGCTTGTAACTCAGGGTGGAATCGAAGCTGAAGATGCCGCTTTGTCTGGGGAAATACGGTCTCCGGAGTGACAATTATATCCTTCGAAATACTATTCAGCGTCTGTATGCCCTGGGCATTGAATGTCATCTTCGTCGAGGTCGCATCTTGTGCCCCGCCTTCTGCTTGGACCGCTTCGGGATGTACTTGTACTAGAACGGGAGAATGTGCGGGGACTTGTCGAAACTTCTCATGAGCCTCGGTGTCGATTTCGGCCTTGGAGCAGAGCTGAATAACTTGTCCCGAGGGGAGCGTCAAGTCGGCGAACGAGAGCTGCTTGGAAACGTTCCGGCGCTTCCCAATGAATCCCACATATCGTCCGTCTACACCATTCTCGAGCGGGAGGTCGAAAGATTCCCGGTCTATCGATGGTCAGCACCGTTTCAGTCGAACGGCGAAGAAATTGGCTTACAAGAAGACCAGGTATTCAACAATTGATTGCGCTTCTGCGACGCAACAGCTGATTGTGTCCGAAGAATGGAGCTCGACCCGAAGCTTCGAGACGAGAATCTTGGAGTGCTAAGCGTCGGCCGAGGGAATTGGCATACCCTGCAACATGATGCCATGCGACGGCAGATTGAGGTTGTCATTGCCGCATCTGCTCGGTAGAAAACGTATAAACAGACCACAATCCAGAAGCCTGCCAAAATTCGAGGTCCCGTATTTATTAATAAACTCGCCGCCGGTGTCGCATACAGCTATAGCTTCCGAGCAGAACGTGGGAGCGGACCTGGCACACACTTTGTAACCTGATCCACTGAAAAAAAGTTGAGCCGAGATATCTCCGCCGCTGGTTAAATTCTGCCCAGCAGCGCGAATCTTTCTTCTGTTTCTTCTTTTCTCTTCATGAATCCTTCCATTCAAAAAAGTGTAAGTACAGACATCGTCCTATGCGATTTTACCCACGAGCCTGAAACTAACAGTATTCACAGATGATGAGAACCGCGTGAATATATGATGCCTGCCTTCTCCCTAACCTGCAAAACCCTCCCCTCTGGGGCTTAAGTGGTCTTGCAGGAAGGGCGAGAACGGCAGTATGAAATAGGCGTTCGACACACCGACCTTGTTACTGCATCGGACGCGATGGAAAAAAGCTCTGAACTCCAGAGAATGGAAGAGATATATGGGAACCGCTCGAGTTGCCTGGTTTCTACATACCCACTGTCACTACCCGCGTTGCAAGTGCAACAACCGCCCTCGAACCCCAACACGAGTCCTGCACAGTAATTGCATTAGGCATTTCCGTCCTTCCCTTCCCTAACCAGCCAATTCGTAATGTACAGAGATAACATGTACCCAACATTAACCTGTGGTTTCAGCACGTTATGTGGTGTGGTGATTCGATCCGGGTGGCCCTCGAGGTTTAGGTTCATTTCCGTCTGAATGGTTGGGTTCTCAGACAATTCAAGAAAAAACTTGAATTTCGAGGGCCGCCCCGATAGATCCAACACACCATATGGCATGCTGAAACCACAGGTAAATATTCGGTCATGATAGGCAAGCACAAGAGGGTAGTCATCAACAAAGTTTAGCTTTCTATATATCTGGTTCTTATCCATGAAAAGTGCTGCATATACGTGTTCAACCCAGATCATATCCCGTTTCAAGGGTCCTAGGATATACATGTTCATCGGCACACGACCCTTCAATTGGGTAAGTATGCGCTACTCATAGAATCAGGGCTCAATGGGTGCATCTGTCCAAGTGCTCGCCACACAGCCGCCGACGGTCCATCCTGCGCAGGCAATATATTACTACCTGCAAGCGACTACAACGTAGATACAACGCGCCGTGGGCATTGATTCGTGGGATGTTATGCCAGCTCACAGTCACAGGCCTCTAGCCACAGCATGGAACTCTGTGCAGCGAATATAATCATGCCAACCAAGTGTACAGCTGCGCTCCACCACCACCACGCGAAGAAGCCGTGGCCAGTGGACGAGCCGAAATCTGTAGGTACCTCCGACTGGAGTGTTTCAGGCGCACACAGGCAGGTATCTGCCGGACCGCCGACCACTCAGCGGCCCAATGGCCTGAGACGCCCTGCCCAACCACCGATTGTCCCCCTGTCCAGCGACCCAGCAGATAGCCTGTGCGCCATCATCATAATTACGGGCTCCAGGCTTGGCTTTACGAATCCAGTCCACCCCAATCTATCTGCGTCTACCGACTACGTATGATTGATCGACCCAAGCTAGACACTTTCCTCTTCGCCCTCGCTCCCCTTCCCGCCCCAGCTTGATTATCCCAACGCCGACACAACTCGCATGACTTCGGGTCCCAGCGAGGTCTGCTTGCACCATGTCCAGCTCCTTTGAAAAGTCCGTCAAGGGCGCAACCAAAATTAAGGTCCATCATCCCCCTCTACTCCGGCTTATGCGGTATTGGTGAGCTAACCGTCGAGCAGAACGCGCCCCCCAAGACCAAATATATCGAGCATATCCTCGTCGCCACCCACTCAGGCGAAGCGGGCATAGCTGAAGTCATCCGCGCCCTTCAGTATCGCCTCCGAGATGCAACATGGACCGTTGTCTTCAAGAGTCTGATCACCGTCCACCTCATGATCCGTGAGGGATCTCCCAACGTCACCTTGGCCTACCTCAGTCAGAATCGCAACGCCTTAGCTATCTCCAACTTCACCGACGGTACGTCACCCCCGACGCAGCGCTACAGATCATGGTTTTGCTGACAGCTGGCAGCCGTTACTCAGGGCAGGAATATTCGTCACTACGCCAATTATCTCTCTGAACGTTCGCGCGCATATCGTGAGACAAAGACCGATTGGGTTGGCGCTCCAGAATCCAGACTTGAACAGCTCAGTATAGATAAAGGTCTGCTACGACAGACGGAAATTGTGCAGCGGCAACTTGCTGCACTCCTCAAATGCGATGTAGGTTCCAGACCCAAGAACCAGCCGAGCTCTGTTCCCCATGGAAGCTAACATGTCCCGTTCTACCAGGTTCTGGACAACGAACCCGAAAATGAAATTACCATCACTGTTTTCCGCCTCCTAGTCCTGGATTTACTTGCCCTGTTCCAGGTTCTCAACCAGGGCTTGATCAATATTCTGGGTATGTCTCGCCATTGCTACATGTCTCAAGCTAAACTAACTCTCCGGTTCCCTCCAGGCCACTTCTTCGAGATGTCCAAGACAGATGCGGAGAGAGCGATGGAGATTTATCGTACATTCACCAGACAGACGGACTTCGTCGTAGCATATCTCAGCGTGGCGAGGCAGCACGAGCACCACACACAGGTTCAGGTTCCAAAGCTCAAGCATGCACCTGTCCACCTTGGCCGCCAACTGGAAGATTATCTCAAGGATCCCGATTTCGAAATCCATCGCAGGCAGTACATCGCTGAGCAGGAGGCAAAAGGCAAAAAGGTCACGACCAGCTCTCCCAGATCGCCCAAGTCACCCAGGCCTGGAAATCGTCTGCCGTCTCCAGCTTCAAACAACCCGTTCCCGATCAAGAAAAGCCCAAGCCCGAAGCCGGCTGAGTCCAAGCAGCCAGCAGCACCTCAAGCAAACAAAGGCCCTGATCCCGACTTGATAGATTTCTTCGGTTCAATTGAGCAGAACCAGACGGCAATGCCTATCCAGACACCACCTCAACCCACCACGAACCCTTTCCCCCCGCAAATGACCGGATTCCAGCAGCCTGGGCCGATGCCCAACCTGAACGCAAGCCCCTATCAACAGCAGCAAGTGGGACCGCAACTTCAGCCAAACATGACAGGCGCGGGCTTTGGGGGATTCGGCCCTCAGCAGCAAGCTTTCCAACCGCAACAGGGATTCCAACCCAGCTCTTTGGGGACCATTCCTCAGAATACAGTTGCAAACTTCCCTCAAAACCAGCCAGGCCTACAGCCACAGCCAATGGTGCAACCAGCAGCGCTACAACCTATCCCAACGGGGCAACAGAGCACAAACCCATTCCGCCAGTCCATGCTACCACAACAGACCGGCGTTCAGTCGAACATGTCGCCCACTCTTTCATCGCCTGGTTCTGGTGCTGGCACTCCGGCTCTGCAGCGCCAATCGACGAATCCATTCGCAAGGTCTTCACCTCAACCTCAATTCCAACCCCAGCAGCAAGCCGCTCCTTTGATAGCTGCACCGACAGGCACCAACCCTTTTGCTCGCAACGCCGCACCTGCGCCTCAACCTCAGGAGCAACAGAGACCTGTAACTGCCGGTGGTGCTCTTTCTGGCGGCCTCATGCCTCAGCCTACGGGTGTGACAAACCCCTTCCGCCAGAGCCAATTTGTCAACCATGCCACAGGCTTAGGATGGCAGCATAATCAGCAACCGATCGGCGGAGGCATTGATCAGCTCGCTACACAGCAGGTGTTCCCTCGTCCCTTACAACAGACCCCCTGGCAACAACAGTAGTCGAGCGAATATATAACTATCCGAGCTCACGGTCTTCATCGGACTGGATCCGTCTAGCTTGACAATGGATTTTGTGCTTCCCGCCCAACCAGTTTCTCGGAATTATTTCATCTTGTCATATCTTTGGCTCAACTTTTTGTTTTAGAAGTCATTGGGTTATTATTAGTCGCAGCATTCAAGCGAGGCGTTCTTTGGCATTTTAGGTGTAGAGCTTGGGGGAGTGAAGCTTCTTGGGGCGGTAGACATCAATTCACAGTAGCCATACACAAGAAAGCATTTTTCTTTAATCTCAAGACTCAAAAAATTTTGCCGAATTGCCATCTATAAACAAGTGAACGCATTGGTCTTTTTCTAGCCAATGAGTGATAAATAGTAACTCCGATTCGCCAACCCGTCTGTGGTAAGGTCTCTCTCTTGACCAAACCCAGATTTTATTAATCCCCAACGCCATAGGCTATGCACATGAGTATGTATCGAACGCGAATTGAATGAACAAAACAGGCCGCATCAGAATCGACGTCTCAGAATAGGTCGTCAACGTCCATCTTACCGCCAGTCTGCCCAGTGGCGGCTGCTAGGGCTGCACCAGCTGTGGACACGCCCTTTGCCATCTTATCCTCTTCAACGAAGACGCCCAGCCCAGAAAAGGCTTCGAAGAGAGCTCTGCTGAGATACTCTTCGGCCGAGTAGCCCCCTGCCTTGTGCTCGTCCCGTCTCCTGGCACGATCCAGGTTGTCGCTCTTGTACTCGCTAAGTTTCTCGTTGGACAGATCGATCCTCGTTGTCGTCATATCCAATCCACCGAACGGATCATATGGCTTATTATCAACGACCTGCACCTTCTTCTCTCTGAGACCACGGATGGACAGCCCGCTCCCGCCAGTCGCTGCGGCCGCCGCTTCGAGGACCGCGTCTCGCCGCTGCTGCCCGCGCTTCCTGAGCAGGATCTTGTCCATGGCCTCGCTCGCCTTGCCAGCCTCGGCGCTCTGCAGGGACGTGAGCATCTCCTCGCGGAACCGCGCCGCGCTGGCCTTCTCGTCCGCCTCCTCCTGCAGCTCAAGCATCCTCCGCTGGCGGGCCGCCTCCTTCTCCGAGGACAGGCGCTTCTGCCGCGCGTCCTCCGTCTCCCGCGCGAGGCGCTTGTTCCGCTCAATGTCGGCCTTGTGCTGGGCCTCCCACTCCTGCAGCTGGCCCTCGGCCTTCTTCCTCGCGTCGTCGGTGCCGCTGACGAGGTCCTCGGTCAGGCACTCTACCATGTAGAGGTAGTCGTTGTAGGCGTCGAGGTCCTCGAAGTCGTCCTCGACCTTGTTGAAGATGGCGGCGACGCGGCGGCGGATGTCGACCTCGCGCTCGACCGTCAGGTCGCCGAAGAAGGCGGACCTGAAGCCGCGGAGGCGCAGCGTCTTGTTGCAGCCGGCGTAGGGGCACTGGTTGGGGCCGTCCTTGAAGATGCGCTCCACGCAGGTCTTGCACATGCGGTGGTAGCACTCGGGGTTGATGCGGAACTCCATGTCCCTGTTGAAGTAGCGGGTGGTCTTGCACACGGGGCATGTCTCGTCCTCGTCGAGCTGGGGCGCGGTCGACCCGCCGTGGCGTACCGAGACAGCGCCTCGCGACATGACTTCAGATAGTCAAAGCTAAGGTCTGAGTAGGCGAGGAGGGTGAGGTCGGTGTTAGAGGATATGTGAACACCAGACGAGGCTGGTTTGCAGATAAGGGAAGCTTGGACCCACGAGCTGGGGCAGTCTAGGGTGGTAGTTATTAATGGGCGAAGCACATTCTAGATTTTAGGCGGAGGGCGCTAAGATCTCCGCGTCCCACTTTCCTGTACTATGTAAGCATTGCCCCTCCATGTGCCCTGCCACTGCCTCTCCAAACCATCCCACCTGCATCAGAGCCTCACCACAAAAATCATGGCTGACAAAGGTATGTAGTACTCGAAGTCTCTTTGGGCCGGTACTCTCATTAGAACTATATCTAACAGCTAATAGAACCCAATCCCACCGAAGACGCTGCCGCCCGCGCCAAGGAGGCCGAGGAGCAGGCTGCTCTGCCTTACAAATGGACCCAGCAAATCTCTGAGCTCGACATCACGTTCATTGTCCCCGGGAACCTCAAGTCGAGAGACCTGGTCATCGATATCAAGAAGAAGAAGCTGTCAGCTGGTATCAAGGGACAAGACCCAATCATTCAGGTTCATGACCCCGCCCCAATGTTGCTGCGTGCCGGCATAAAGCTGACATGAAACTACTTTCCAGGGCGACACTCCCCACGATGTGAACACCGAGGACTCGACCTGGACTCTCGTCACGAACTCGGACGGAACCAAGACTGTGGAGATCCACCTCGACAAAGTCAACAAGATGGAGTGGTGGGCTCATGTCGTCACCACGGCTCCCAAGATCGACGTCTCGAAGATCCAGCCCGAGTCCTCCAAGCTCTCCGACCTCGACGGCGAGACACGCGGCATGGTGGAGAAGATGATGTTTGACCAGCGCCAGAAGGAGGCCGGTCTTCCCACCTCGGACGAGCAGAAGAAGATTGACATTCTTAAGAAGTTTCAGTCCCAGCATCCGGAGATGGACTTTAGCAACGCCAAGATCAGCTAGATGAGCTTCCCTTGTGTTGAAGGTCCGGCGTTTCCTTTTTTTTTTTTTTTAATCATAACGAACATAACTTATATCATGGCGGTCATCTGGATTCGAGCGCCTGCGCTGCTCGTTCCAAGAATGCATTGAAATCCTGGACCTGGTGGAGAGTCCCACCGCTCCCACTTGAAGAGCTGACTTGATCTGTTATTTGGGCTAGGAGGAACTCGAGATTCGCGAGCTCGGCCTCTTTCTGGACTTTTCCAGATAGTTGCGGGGCGTCTTGGCCTTTTGATACAGCCATGTCAATGTCGTACATCGTACTAGATGTGTTGAGCAAAAACTAGGGTCTTCCATTAGTGGCCCAATAAATGAAATATTGTTTAGGTGCGGACGACTCACGGTTGCTTCCTTGTTGTCTGCTTCATACTTCGCTCTTACAGCATCCATTCGAAGAGCGACCTGCTCCCTCTCGCCCTTGATGCGAAGAATCTCCTCTCGTAAAGCAAGTTTCTCTTTCTGAGCCTGCCGAACCCGCTTTCGCAACGAGTGACAGTGATTGAGGTAAATAGCCTAAAACAAATATCAGTAAATAGTCCACCCAATGATTCTCTAACAAACTTACATGTTGTAATTGGCGAGATTTTAGCACCTTGTGATAGGCTTCAACAGCTTGAATCTTGATGCGAAACTCCTTCTTTTTCGCTGCATCTGGCGCATTCTGAGCATGCTGTTTGAATTGCTCTAGTGTATTGCCAATGACTTCTTCACAAACTTGGGCAAAAACGTCGACCGCATTTTCGCGGCTGCTGTTTGCGAAGGGTATATCAAGTTGTAGCGGATCGATGTCGTCCGCTTCTTCATCGTCGTTTCTGCGACGCTTTCTGTAGTTGACGAACCTTTGCACCGTGACTTCAATGGCATTTTCTCCCTCGCCACCGTCCTCAACGCTGCCCTCGTCGCTCTTACGTCGAGCTGCGGAGGATCGCCTCGGCTTGGGTGGCGCCGTTGGGCGAGGCTTTTCGGGTTTCTGTTTTTGAGATACTCGTTGCCGTGGCTTCTGGGCGGGTTGCTTCTGTGTGGCGGGACTCTTGTTGGGCTTCCCACGTTGCCTCCGGGGAGCAGGTTCGGGGACAGGTTCGGGTGCTTCTTCTTCTTCTTCTTCATAGTCGTCTTCATCACCGTCTCCGCGGTCTCTCGATCCTAACTCAATGGACCCAGAACGAAGGCTTTGTCTGGGACGTCTTCTTCGTAGAGCCTTTGCCGCCTCTGTCGCACTGATCTCTTCTGCTTCCTCCTCCTCTTCCTCCTCTTCATCGTCGGGAGCTGGTACTACCTCCATTTCCCCGGGCTCTACAACACTCCCGAGCTCCCTACTAGGCGATCTCTCTTGTGCTTGTGACAACAGCTGGCTTGCGATCTCATCAATCTCGTCAAACTGCAGTTCCTCCATCGCTGACAACCTGGAAGCCCTCCTATCGGAAAATTCAGCGTCGCTTCTCCGTGATTTGCGCGTGAGGGGCGACGAGGGCATGCTACTGTCGGAACCCATCTCATCGCGCAATCTTGCGCTCGACGCAAGCGCACTGCTGACAGCCACGGTTCTTCTCCGGCCGCTGCCAGGCTTACTGACGGGACTTTCTTCTATCTCTTCAACAAAGGACGTGCGCGCGCGGCTGCTCGATGGTTCCGGTAGGACTTCCAGCTCGTCTGGCTCGTCTTCTGGCTCCCCTTCGGAATCAGAGACATGGTTCGAATTTTCGTTTCGAGGGCTCGGCAATTCTCCCGTATCCCTTGCTCCTGCATGTTCGCGGGTCGTTGCGCTCGCATTCGCCGGTTGTTCGGAATCCTTTGAAGTGTTCGGTATATCGTATGGGTTTTTGGGTGCGCCGCCGCCACTGCGATCGCTCGAGGCGGGATCCGGTGCCTCCTCATTGAGCCTCCGTCTCTTCGCAGATGAGTTTCCTGGCTGGCGAGGGGACGACGGGGGCTGGGGCGCTGCGAACACGGCAGGGTCAAGACCGGGTATGTCGAGGTTGAACGAGTCGTCTCCAAGATTGACGCGCCTAGGACCATGAGCAACCACATAAAGAATTTCGGGTAGTTATTTTCTATTCTCTACTTACTGCGCACCACGAAGGCGGTCGTTGAGACGCTCTGCGCGAGCTTCCCGAGCTATGGGTAATGATAAGCAGAGGGACCAAATAAATGGGCTGGAGATGTACCTACCCGTGGCCATCGTGGACGAATTGCGCCACTTCACAGAGACCTATATATATTGAAGCGCCAAAATATGGCTTCTTGAGTCGCAGGCATCAGTCCTGCTATGAAAATGACCGTTGCGCGCATACAGAGACAATGACGTTGAAGGAAGGAATGGATGTTGATGGATCCAATTAGACGCGTTGAGTAAGTGTTGCCGACGCGTTTCTGGCGGGAGCTGATGGCGGGGCATTCCAGCACCTGGGACCAGTCACACCTCACTACACAACCAGCACAACCACCTTCAATACATCATGGCAAGCGAAATTTAGGGTCGGAAAAGACAGTGAGAATTCAATTCTGGGACTTGCTGTAAAATTCATCTTAGGTATGCTCCGCGTAACCGTATTTGTTCCCATGATCCCATTGAGCCATGTCGCCGTGCAACCCTTAACGCCGGTGGAATAATAACAAAAAAACGAGGGTCAAATCACCAATCAGGTTGTGCTGCCAACACCCATTGCTCTTGATTCTCGTCGTATGTGTGGCTGTGCGCGACTGTTAGATTGTTTGATGCTTGTTTCAGCACGGTTAACACTTACTCATTGAAGAACTTGTTTGTCAAGGCCTTTTCTCCATATTCGGCCGCCAGCATTTCCTTGTAGCTATATGGAATCTTCACTGACACGCCCTCGAAGGTGGTGTCACGTAAGGGATATAAATAAGTGTCCTTTTGAACATAGTTAGTTAAAGGAGTTCCATAGCATTTCAAGACAGTGGTGTCAACATACTCGATACTCGTGACCATTCTTGTCAAATAACACACCCTCGCCCTTCTCGTGCCCGATGGCGTAGCGCGCAGCGGTAATGTCAATATAGAGACCTGACGATGTGTCTATCCATCTTGCGTCGATGACATTCTGTCTGTCTTTGGTTTCTCGAAGTTTATAATGCGGGTTAATCTCCAGCAAGAACAACCTGCCTTCCGGTATCTCTTCATTCTCGAAGTAGTAGGTTGACATGTTATGGTAAGCCGCAAGAAAATACATGTCGGCCTCTGTTATCTGGACATCTGCATCAAGGTCCCAGGGCATGATCTGTTAAGCTGTTAGGACACCTGTATGGGAAGGGGGGATGAGATGGATCAACATGCCTTACGGCCAAACCACCATCCTAATAAACTCCCATGCATGAGCCAGGTCTGTTTTCGAGTAGTTAGAGAATGGCCGGGTAGAATACTGGTTGAGGTTGGCACGAACCTGAATGCCTAAGCTTCGAAATGTTGATAGGTATGTTTGTACCAAGCCTCTGATGAGGACCTTTTGGTAATCTTCTTTGTACTGGTACTTCATAAATCTACTATCATAATGGGAATTCATTCTTCAATCTTCGCGTTAGCATATGTTACCCATTACGCAGCCTTATGCAGATTGAACAGTGGCACCAACTTCGACTCGTCTGATCACGATTAGCATATAGGTCTTAGATATGTTGGTTCATAAAAACTCACGAAAATACTTGTATTCTGGGAAGTCGGGCTTGTCAGGGACTTCGGCTCTCTCAGCAATGCTTGCGCCGGGTGTGGCGGGCACGGCGGCGCCAGTGGTGATACATGCCGCACACAGTACAGACACAGCCAGCCCGAGGGCCTTCATCCTAGACTGAGGGCTTTCGTCTGGATCCTGCGACGACAGCCAGGCGTAGCGCGCACGCAGCAATGTGCTTTGGGCTGGATTGGCGAGCGTGATTCGAGAGCACTTGCGGCTGTTCACGTGCAATCACAGCCCAGAGGTCCCTTGATGATTAACGACGCTGGGCGCCAAGAAGCCTCCGTGAGTAAAATGACGGACTGGAAGGCCCAGTAAACAAGCGGACTCGGCGGGCGCACAATTGCGTACTTGGCAGGGTAGAATACGGACTTGCGATTGAGAAGCAGGCTGCGACAGGAAATCACATCAGTTACGTGCACAAGGGCAGAAATTTAAGCACAGTGAGACACAGCCGCGAGCATTGAGCTCGTAATGTAATGTCTGACATTCAGCTGTGACACTGATTGTAGCATCTAATCGGGACCTCTGTGGCGCATGCAGTGGGTTCTGATATGCCTTAGCTACCAACTTAATCATCAGGAGAGGCAGTCCACGTCACTCTCCACACCTTGTCTGCAGGGCTCAAATCATTCCTTCCCTAGCCGCCCAGCGAGCCAACATACCGGAGCATGGTTGCTTCCAGCGGTTCACGTTCGGACAAAATTAGAAGACGAAGCGAGACAGAAATCCCTTGATTTGAAAGGTACCTGTCAATCGCCACGTCTTGTTGCTTTCCTTTGTTCGTATATCGACGTCCTATTTTATACACTATTCCCACTAACGCACCTTGCTTGGGATTATTGACTCTGGAGCTTGTTTACCTTGTACCTGACCCACGAACCATGTGCGCCCTGCGCCCGGGAAGTGGGAACACCCTTGCTTGGATAAAGCTAGCAAGGTCTGTTTTCACGGAGGCCAAGAGCTTTCATTAAGCAAGTACGAACTCAACTGCACGGGAACAATGGTATTTGATATTAGTATACCCAACCCTAGAGATGTGCAATGCAATCCGTCAGACTATTGCGAGTTATCTAGTCCATGTTATGTGACATTGTGGGGTGATCGGCTGCGTTGCCTTCTGTAGACTGAGTATGAGTCGAGCGGGCCATCTTTACTGTTGGCCATGGATATGATACTCTGAGATCAGGCTACACACGTAGCTCGCTTTACACAAAGTTTTCCTTGCAGCGGTTATGGCCTGTACCTGAACCTAATACATAGAAGGACTATCAACATTAACACCTACAGACAGGTGACAAGCATTGCCACTTTCGGAAGTTCGAGAAAGAGCTAGTCGATGGATCACACGGCCGTGGCCCTTAACTACCTAATCGTTAGCTTCATTGAACACACAAGCTAAAACCCATGTTAAACAATGCGTCTTCTACCAGAATCACCCACGTCATGTTGAAGCCTTGAAGCGAAGCCTCGGTGTGCTTTAATAGAGGAGCCGTATATGGCCTTCTACCTGGTAGGTTAGAGATGTTTAGGGTAGGTAGGGATGTTCCGAGTTGGTACAAGCTCCAAATGCTGACTCAGCCGAGTCGCGCCTTCGATCCGCCAACTCCTCAAGCGTGAAGTTCATCCTCCAAGCAAACTCGCAGTGCATCGCATCTTCGCCTTCGGAATCGTACAGCAACGCCCCATCGAATCTCACTACCATTTAACCTTGCGATACAGAGACACACAATAAAAAGGATGGTTTAGGGCGAGCGACGCCTTCCTTGCTGCCTGGAGGAAGTTCGAGGGAATGCGCCCACATATTTGATCAACCATGGCGGACGATAACCAGTTCTCGTCTTTCGACGAGAATGACTGGAAAGCCCAAAATGCGGCAGATGATAGAGAGATCGCGAAACTCCTAGAGCAGAGCCAAGATGGAGCATCGGGTGGCTTGAAGCTCGACGATACACCCTTTGACCAGACGAACAAAGCCGACGATGCGGAGGATTTTGAGGACATCAGCGATGACGATCTCCCCGAGGAGGAACCCAGCGCGAGCACATCCGTGGAGTTACCTGGGTTAACCGACGACGGCGAAACTAGTAACAACGACGCGGATGATCTTTTCGGTGAAGGCCCATCTTCGCCAACCGACCCAGTCCTCGGACCCCCATCTCCTGCCCCTCATGTACGGGATGCCGATGCCGCCGATGAGACCCAACCGAGCCAACCATCCCCCATATTCCCTGGCATAAATTTCGACCCCGAGCCACGTTTAACAGCGAACCAAGATCCTGATATTCCCGCCCCTGCTGAGACTGTCGAGGATTTACTCAAGGCAGCATGGCCTGCTTACAAGAAAGGGTGTATTCTTACGTGGAGTGAGCTCTTGCCGGCAAAGAAGGCCATATGGAAGGAGAAGAAGCCTCTCAAGAAGCCCAAGCGTCTCGTCACAAGCAAGCTGACGCTTGAGCTCGACCAAGATAGTGTCACCCATTTCAGACTACCTGGTCCTCCAGCAACGTCTCGAACAGAGGGCAACGACCATAAGGGGTTGGTTTTTTGCTACGACGACACGGTGGAAGAAGAGGAGAATATTGCTCAGTTCGATATCGATCAAGTAGACGAATCAGAAACTGTCATGGGATTCACGCTTCGCGATATCGAGATGGCCTGCGAAGATTGGTATACCCAGATAGGGGTGATTGAGAAAGACTTTGCTATTCTCGAAGCCGAGGAGCGGAAGGAGGCGTCATCCAGAAAGCGGCTGTTTGAAGAGGAAGACGATGATGAATGGAACGCAGAGTTCCTCATGGACGACGTGGTGGACACTCCAGCGCCCCCCAAGAAGCGCAAAACGATCAAACCTGGCCTCCCAGAAATTCCACGATATACTGCCCCATCCTTCGATAATTTCGAAGAAACTACTAGACGAGGTGCCAAACGAGTGCAGCTTGACGCATCCGATCCCCACCTTCTCATTGATCCTCAAGAATCTCAACGAGTTGCTAAGCGCCCCCGTCAAGACGGACCTGAAGGGAAGCATGTTCCGAGTGGGAAGATCAGTCGCAATTTGTTTTCGCGATTTAATATGTCCAACGATGACGCATACGAACTGCTCAAAGAAAACCACCAGAGCAAGGTGCGTGCGACACTCGGCAACATTTCCGTGGAACACAGTATGCCTGCCATCAAGCTCACCTGGCCATACTACAAAGTCAAACTTCCTGGCACAACGGACGAGTACCATCGCCCACGTTTCAGATACAAGAAGTTTGTTGGCCAGTCCATCAGGTTTGAAAAGCCAGCCCATTTCAGGAGGAAAGAAATGCGCAAGAAGATTTCAGAGGTCTTCAAGGACTCCAAGTCGCTCAGTATCAGCGACAATTCTACAGCTGTTTTGTTTGAATATTGTGAACCTAGACCTAGAGTGCTCAACAATTTCGGGATGGGTAGCAAGCTTATCAACTATTACCGTCGGAAGGACGCCAAAGACGACGAACAG